TGTTTGTCTTAATACTGATTAGTAAATGGATGTTTCAGGTACCTCAAGGATTTAGAACAACTGGGCTTTTATTTGTAAACTTTTTACCTAAGGTGACACACTCTTTAATTTTTTTTTTTTTTAAGAATAAAAGGAACGTTATTTTCCTTACTTTTTCCTTAAGCGTGAGAGAATTTACCTATTAAAATTGTTTGGTATTATGGAATATTTAGGCAAGTTCTGTATCCAAGCTCTATATCCATATGTGTAAATGATGGCACAGCTGTGCATCTATATTGACTGTAGCACGGTAGCACTCGCTTCCCATTGTTTATCAATTTGCTTGAGTGGGCACCAGTAACATCTCCATTGTGAAACTTGTTTTTGGCATATCGAATAAGCCATGGGTAGCCTGCCGGGCTCTCCGAGAGGGATGGAGGACTAGAACCCAGGTTGGCCGCATGCAGCAAATGCCCTGCCCGCTGTGCTATCACTCCAGCCTTGTTTTGACTATGCATCTATATTTGAACAGGGTCAGGGAAGGAAGTAACCTTATATTAGACACACCCCTGTTAATGTTTTTCCCTGTCAAATCTTATTCTTTTTGAGATCTTTGTTATTCCCCCCCCCCCCCAGGTCTCCCATATTATCTCTGTCAACTACCCTCCCACCCCTTTTTTTTGCACTGGATTAATTTTAGGATTTTTGGCCTATCAGTTTCACCCACACACATTTATTTCATACTTATTACATCCCAGGAATTATGCTGGGTGCTGGGGTTATCAAGATCATAGAAATGATTGCTGACTTGAGGGCATTAACTATCCAGTGGAAAAAGGAAATTGTTAGTTAACATACCATAGCTTAGATTCTTAAAATAGATGCACTTTCTTCAATGTAAAACATGTTTGCAGTGCCAATGCAGAAAAAAATAAAAGCATGGGTTTGATAATCAGAAGGCCAAGAGGTATCTTTTCCAGCATAAATATTTGAATCGGGTCTTTGAGGACAAATGTAGGAAAGCAGGAAGCTGTAGCATGTTTCAGACAGAGTGGTTTCCTGGTATAGGTGTACATAGGGTGCCCAGAGGAATGGGTAGGAGATGATATTCAGATGGCAGCTTAGGACCAGTGCAGAAAGGGGTGAGTGAAAAATCAAGTCAAGGGGTTGGATCCCATGAAGTATTCAAAAGAACAATATCTGAGGTATTTTAAACATAAAGGTAATATTTTGAGGCCAATGTTCAGAAAAAAAATTGGAAGCACAATAATGGATGGGTTGGCAGAAAGGCAGAACCTAGATGTTCAACAGCAGATCAGTGGATCATGAAGATGTGTTATATAAACACAGTGAAATACTATGCAGCTGTAAGGAATGATGAAATCATGCATTTTGTTGCAACATGGATGTAATTGGAAGATGCCATGTTAAATGAAGCAAGTCAGAAGAAGGACAAACAAAGGATAATATCACTTGTATGTGGTAGAGTAACTGGAGGGGGGAAATGCAATGGTTTAAAGAAGGAATGCCTAGACCACCCTTTGCCCCAAAATATGGGAAAGAGAAGGAAAGAGAATGAAGGGAAAGGGAAGAAAAGATAGATGAGCAGAGGGATCAGAGATCAAGGGGACTCAGGTGCACTGGAGGTAAGGAATGATAGAGCTAAATATCCAAACCAGAGTTAACAACACTGAAGTTGTGAGACCCAACCTTTAATAACCAAACATAAAATGTTCCTGTCAAGGTGACAGGCTGAGGCTGGGTGGGGGGCGGGGGGGGGGGATAGAAGAGGTAATCTTGGAATGGGTTGAGGGAATTTGACACTGGTGGAGGAATTGGTGATGGGACAGTGTATGCCAAAAACTCAACTATGAATAACTTTGTAATTCACGGTGCTTTAATACAATAAAAATATTTTTGAAAATAAATTGATGAAAGTTAGGTTGATTTTTCTGGGACAGAGAGTTTGCACAGGGGTTAAGGCCTTTGCTTTGCATGCAGCTGACCCAGGTTCCATCCCAAGTACCACATATGTGAAATGCTCTTCTCCCAGTCAATAACCTCTCAGGACACCTAGCGCACTGCCAGGAGGCCAGGGGTGGCTCCTATGCAAGCACGAGTCAGGAATTGCTACTTTGTTCCCCTCCTCAAAAATAGGTAGCTTTTTTTTTTTCTTTTTGGGTCACACCTGGTGATGCACAAGTGTTACTCCTGTCTCTGCACTCAGGAATCACTCCTGCTGGTGCTCAGGGGACCATATGGGATGCTGGGAATCTAACTGAGTCAGCTGTGTGCAAGGCAAACACCCTACACACTGTGCTATTGTTCCAGCATAGGTAGCTTTTTGAATGGGCTTAAATGTATCTTGTTATTGTGTAATTACTGGAGTTATTTGCAGCATGTACCTTTCCTATTAGTAACATGGTTGTTCCTCAAGGGTGGTTTTGAAGGAATGAAAGCATTAATACCAACTAATCCTAAGTATTTAAGAATTTTGGAAAGTTTTAAAAAATTTTGGAGTTTCATTTATTAACATGCAAGACTCCATATCTTTTTCCGATTCTTTACAGATGTTAAAGTAGATAAGGTATTAACAAGCATTAAAATACGTTAACAATCTGCACATTTGAAATCATAGTAATGTATCTATACATTATGATTCATATGTACTGTTAAGTTTGCTCTATGTGCTATACCAAGCATATATATATACACATATATATATGTGTATATATATATCACCTCCATTTATGGTTTGAGACCCATTTTATGGATGTACAGAAGCTCACACTATTTAACCTGTCAGGATCATGTGCTCAGATAACCATCTTGGTCTTTTTCTGTAACTTGAGCTCATTTGCTAAAAACAAACTAGCTTAATTTTGCATTTACCTCTGTGTGAAATGCTCTTCTCCCAGTCAGTCATCAAATGGACCACTTAAGATCTTAGCTTAAAATTCCTCTTGTCGAAGAAGTCTTCATCAATGATTCCTTTTGATGTTGCTCCACCTCCCCCATTTTATTTCATAGTATATTTTAAGCTAAAATTATGTATTTGCTTTTATTTTCTGTTCCCTACATTAGAATATAAGTTTTATGAGCTCTCTGATACTTTTGACTTATACATATATCTACGACATATTAAAAGTTCCTGGAACTCCCAACAAATATTATCCAAGGAATGAGTGAATAAATGAATGAAGTGTCTCCAGGTCCCAAGCTTGTTTTCTGGTTCCATCCTCCCCACATGTTTTCTTTCTGCTACCTAGAACAGTGAAAGGAACTTGGCTCACTCTCTGTCTAACTGTGTATCTGAAACCCAGAGTGATTAACATTTAAAAACCAAATATTTACTTACTAGGAAAGGAATCCCACAAAGGAGTCTCTTCCTCATTAATCAAGATCATGTTCTTAAATCTAAGCTACTAAGTTTGTATGTGGTAGCTGGGAGGTATAAATACTTATAAATAAGCATTTCTGTTAAATTATTTTCAGAATTTTACCTTTTCTTGAAGTATTCATTTTGGCTCATCTTCATAGCAGCATACTGGAATTTACATAAAATAAATGTTATACCTACTGTTTTTATTTTGTCTTTCAAAGCACCAGCATTTAAAAATAGAGCTTCTGTAATCATTTAGAGAATTCATGTTCTTTCCACTTATAAAATAAAAGTCCTGGGAGATAAACTATGTTTATCTTTTGTGCGCTTAGATCAGCCTTTTCAGATGTGTAACTTTTCTTTGTCTTGGTGTGATCTGAGAAGACTAGGTTTGTCACTAACATATTAACCTCTTCTTTCCTCACTACCTTCCATTTTGAGAAATAACTTGCTGATTAATTCCTGAGTTAGAGAAGGTGGCCTGGAGAGGAATTTTAAGTACATTTCTCGGTGTTCTGTGAAGTCACATGATCTTAGCTCAGCTAATTAACTTTGTTAGAATTGTGTAAGGAGGGAGTGTTTCCTTATAATAAACTATATAAGAACCCAAGCAATTTGAAAACAACCTGCCCTTTACCTTGATCCCTACCTTCTCCAAAAAAAAAAAAAACATATTGTAATGCCAATGAACAGAATAATGGTTGACGAGCAAAATTCTAAGGCATTCTAAATATCACTGGTTGGTTTAATAAAATTAATTAGCCTGCTATGCAGAAAATTTACTAGCATGCTGGTTAATTTCACAATGTAAAGTGATAGAAGGGAGGTGGGGTTGGGGGAACAAACCTTATTAGTTTTGAATAATTATTTAAAGATGTGGCGCTGCCTATTTTAAGCACTTTGTCAAATTCATTAGGGCTTTAAAATCTCAAATGTTTATCCTGGTATGTATTTATGTATGGGAAGAAATCTCTCTAGTATCTTAGTTAATAACTAACTTTCTTATCTAAGATATAGAGCAACAAGTAGAATCCTAATAAAATCACAGGAATGAGAACTTGCCATCAAACTGGCTCATGGGAGGTTTCTATAATCTTAATTTGCCATTGATGCAATTACTGCTTTTTCTTGTTTTTTAAAATCCAAACAAGATGTTTGCTGTGGTGATGGAAAGGTGCCTGAAATCACATGCCTGAATTCATTTAATTTGCCAACATTGTCTTTTTTTCTCTCTCTCTCTTCCTGGTAATGGGCAGGAGTCAGTTCTGGTGCATTAGGTACTAAATCTCTTCAATTACCAGCCGGGAAGAAAGATTTAAAATTGTGCTTTAAGCCTACTGACTGATTTAGTTTTAAAGCCAAACACTTCTCCTGTGGAGCCTAAATTAAACTACAGAAAGGATGCAGAGCTTGAGAAATTAAGCCAGGCAGGCCAAGGCTCAGGCTGAGGATAGGAACCATTTTAGTTTCTTTCATTGGAACCCCTGGTTCAAAAGAAAGGCAACAGGGTGTGGTAGAAGATGCAACTGGTGTAAGAAAGTGCAATGTTATATTACTTTGAGGCTAGACATAGACTAAGTGATGATGCTGTGCATTCTAATCAAACTCAGTACCCATTTTCTCCTTTCTTTCTTTGTAGCCATTTTCAATGTGGACGACTCTGTGGTTGATCTGGAGACCCTGGCGGCCTTATATGAAAATGTGAGTATCAAAGACCGACATAGTCAGAATTTCCAAATGTCCTACCATTGCTCACAATAGGAAAGTTACAGTCTAAGAAATGCTAATGTGTATCCTGGAAAATCACTGAGCCATTTATATTGTTTGGTAGTAAGAAATTTGAGATAGCATGGAAGAAATTCCAAGCAAAAGAATCTCAATCTCAAGTCAAAGCAGACATGAGAAAAGCACTCTTTGCTGTAGTATCTCTGGGCTGTTCAACCTCACTGCTGTTGATCTGCAAAGAAAAAAGATTCGCTGTGAACAGTGCTTCTCTGTTATGCAACCAGTCCTGTTGCTTGCCCTATGAGTGAAGGAAAGCAAAGTAGTTGCATACCAATGTTTTCTTCTGGGTAATGGGAAGACTCAGACTGGCACAGATGATTATTTTTAATCCATGAGCTAATAACCTTGAAATATAATGGGATGACAGGTGTCTGTTTTAGTTTTAGAGACAGATAATCTTACCTTTGAGGTCCAGCTCTACCATTGGGTCGGTCAATTGCTGAAAATTCTTGAGCCTGTTTGCTCATCAGTACCTTGGGGGATTATCATGGGTTTTACCTTTACTTTTTTTTTTTTTTGTGAACAGTAAGGGAATTCAGTATAGGTAGAAGTGGAGATATATTTTGAGAGCTGGTTTGGGGGTTCTAGCAGGGGAGCACTACACCCTTATACCTTCAGCTGAAGAATGGTCCGTATCTATTTGGGGAAGGCCATCCTCTTTGACCAAGCACACAGCTTTGGGAGGTATACACACGGAGTGATGAGGGAGAAAGGGGTTACCCACCTAGCAAGCTAGATCAGCTGAATTAGCACTGGTGCTCAGTGAGATGAATGCTATTACAGCCAGATTACCCTCACATCTAGTAGGGGTATATTCTGAAATTAAATGCTAGTATACACATCTGAGTCTTTTGATTTGAGTTTATGTAGAAATAGCTGATAAAATTGGTAAGATCATTGAGAAGATGACACAGGAGAGTCAGAATTGCTGGTCCACTGACTCTGGATGTGAAAACATTGATCGAATTAGATTCTTTTTATACTGAAATAGTGGCATTTTCCAGGAAGCTTCTAGAAGATTGAGAGTACGCTATGATCATCCAGTTAAAGCATGCATTTCCTTATTATTTCTTTCTTCTGGCACTTTAATTCTCTGATTAAAAAAAAAAAGATTATAGTGTGATAATAAGAACCAGAAGAAGGAAAGAGTACCTCCAAGATGTTTTTTGTTGATACCATGGACTCTAAACTGTGCACATGGTCAGTACTTGTTAGCTCAAAGAGGCAAGCTTTAAACAACTGAAATAACTGGATACACAGACAAAACAGAAACTAATGTTAAAATAAGCACTTTGGACAATAAGTACTCAGAAAGTTTAGAAAAAAGAGAAGGTGGTGACTTGAAGTAAGTGTCAGAAGCCTACATAAGTAGAGAGTACTGTTCCAAGAATTAGGAAGCTTATTCTAGAGATGATTTGCTCCACATCTGTTGACAAGGAAAGAGACATGGCACTCAATGGAAGCAGCCAAAGATCCTGTCTTCTGCATCCAGCTGAGTTTGCTTATAATGACCTTTGGAATCAGCCAGTGATTCTGAAGTGCTGCATACTTCAAAATCACCCAGAGGACTGACTGCTCCCTGGAGTTTCTTTGTGTGTGTTTGGGCCAATAATCTATAATTCTGACTAGTGATAGGTGAAACTACTGCTGAGAGCTGACATTTGGAGACCTGCGCCTTTATATGGGTTCACATTGCTCATTTTGGGGGTCTGTTTTGTTTCTTGTATTTCAACGCAGAGAGCCCAGGAGGATGAACTGGTTAAAATAAGAAAGTATTACGAGATGTCCAAAGAAGAAGAATTGAAGCTGTTGGATAAACCTGAGCAGTAAGAATGCTTGATCACTTTTCTGGTCAGCCAAGAGGAAAAGTGCAGTCGCTGTCTTCCTGCCTCCCAACTCTGAGTAACCTATTTTAAATTGTGCATTGAGCTAAGCTCCCGTCCCATCATTCCCGTGACCTATTACATGCCGCAGCATGACTTGTCTGCTGGGAAACCAGCCGGCCGATTTGTGCTGCTGGGTAAAATGTCTCAAACTCTTTCTCCAGCCCTTGTGACTCCCCTTTCTTATTCTAGAAACTTATTAATTCGTCCCAGACTAAACATTTTGGCCAAAAGGGTAACTGAGGAAGGAATAAGTCATTGCTCTGTTTAGGGTTCGGCTAATGCAGTCAAAAAAAGATGATATCAGAGTCACAGAATTCAAATAGATTTTCTTAAAGGTCATATCCAGGAAATGTTGTCTGAATATGCCAGCTTTCTCCCAAATTTCTCCACCTGGTTCTGCTCGATTTAGATGGGCCCTTTTCATCCTCTTATCCATTCTATAACTATGATTCTTGCTCAGTGGTTGTGGGCTCTTGTTTCACACCAAAGCTCTCAAGCATAACCGAATAACTTGTTCTGGCTAAGACCGTGGGGTCTGCAAACCACAACTGAGTTGCCAGGGTGCTGTAGCTCCCAGACTTTGTCCAGGACTCTATGCAAGTGTGAAATGGGTCAGAGTAAACATATGAGTCCTTTACCTATTGCTACCTCCTGGGTTTTGTACCTATTTCAGTTCAACTCCATCATCCTGGAGGTAAGCAATGAGAAACATCTGGGAAAAAGAGGAAATAGAGTAGTTAGACTAAGGGAAACTTGTCAGTTTTAGAGGCATCCAGGCCCTGACAGCATGAATTAAAACTTCCATATCTTGACCTCCATTCCTCTAGAATGCAGAAGGACTTGGGCATTCAGATTCAGAAAATTATCTCTAATGGTTGGGCAAGGAATTTCTAAGTTTACTCAGTTGTTGATTATTTTGATACCTTAGGTGAATTGCTTTTACATGAAGCCTAAGCCAGGATCCTTACTCCACCGTACACCCACACATATACACACATACTAGTTTTGGTTATTGTTTGTTTTGGAGTCACAGCCAGCAGTGCTCAGTGCTTACTTCTGGCACTGTGCTCAGGGATCACTCCTAGTGGACTCTGAGGACCATATCAGGTACCGGGGATTAAACCCAGGTCAACCTCATGCAAGGCAAACACATTACCTACTATAGTATCATTCTGGCCACATATATTAGTTAATGGTGCCCAGTAGTCTCATGGATTATTATCAGTGAATTTTTATTGCTCTTCTGTTCTAACTTGGGCCATCCTTATCAACTCCCACATTCACTTGTTCCTATGGCCCACACCAAATTATGTTTTTTAATAAAATAAATTAGAATTAATGTATTAATAACTGAAAATAAGGTGACTATTACTGAGATATTTAGATACTAACAAGGTTCTGGGAGTGTTTGGGTTTGCCTCAGCTTGGACTGCATTGACAAAACTTCTTCACATGGGTGGCTGATAGATATCAAAGATTTATTTCTCATAATTGTGGAGACCAGGGTGATAGTGTAGTAAAGTTCTAGTGAAAATCCTTTCCAGATTTCAGACAGCATTTTTGGGAGGTTGGGGTACACACAGTGGTATTCAAGCCTTATTCCAAGCTCTTGCTCAGGTTCCATTCCTGTGAGGTTCAGGGAACCGTATAAAGTGCTGGGAATCATACTCAGGTCATCTGTGTACAAGGTAAGAAACCTACCCACTGTTCCATCACTCCAACTCCAATTTCATACAACTTTCATCATGATAGAAAGCCGAGAAAAGAGAGAGTTCTTTATGTCTCTTTTCATAAGGAAGTTAATCTCATTTCTGATTGTTCCACTCTCACCATCCAATTTTCTCCCAAAGAACTTAGCTCCCAATACCATCACATTGGGGCTTAGTGTTTCCAAATGCAGATTTTTCAAGAACACAAGTGTTCAGTTCATAACGGAGGCAATAAATAATATATCAAGCATTTGGGAATTGCCAACTATCCTGAGTTGAACAGCGATTCTCTACTGAAAGGCTGGAATTGTATTTTTTCTTTTTGTTTTTTGGGCCACACCTGGAAGTGCTCAGGATTTACTCCTTGCTTTGTGATCAGAGATCCTGGAGGTGCTTATGGGGCCATATGGGGTGCTAAGCAGTGAACCTGAGTTGGCAATGTATAAGGCAAGGACCCTGACATTATATAATGTCTCCAGCACCATGGCACATTATTATTATATAGTCCATTGGGACTTTCAATGCTTCTCAGCTATGCATAGGACCAAGTTTGTAGACAAGTGGTAGAAAACCACAACTATAAAGTATTAAGGCACTAAATATTTCAAACTTACTTGAACCATTGATCCCTTAAAACTATACACACGTCATTGTAATGCATAAGCTGAACTCCAATGAAATTGTTTTTGTGAACATTGAAATATGATTTCCCTGTCATTTTACCCATTGTGAAACATTATTACATTATTTATTTATTTTTCCCCCATCATTAAAAACCTTTAAAACCATTCTTAGCTGACAGAATACACACACACAAAATAAGTGGCATGATAAATTTGTCCTGTGGGGTTGCTAGCCTTGCTCTCCATATGGAAATGACCAACCTAGTGAAGTGAAGATTGAGTTTCTGCTACTGGAAGCTTTCCCTTTGCTTTTGTTTTAATGCCTTCCTAATACTATTTTTCAATATTTAAAGTGTGTGAATGATCATTGTAGTGGCTTCCTGAACACTAAGCTGTTACAGCAGAGAGGTCTGTTTATGTTGTCTTGGTGACATAATGTGTAGGGGCCAGTTGCTGGGAGAGTCCAGGCCCAAGTGGATTCCACCTTTGCTCTTGACCTTCTGCACAGTGCACCATTTGTTTGATATATGCCAGAGTCTGATACTCTGGCTGCTGACTTGCCATTAGCTCTAAATGAGTTGAGTATAAGCATGTTTTACATACTGGAAAATATGAATCATTTATGGTTCAACATCATAATTTCCTAAGATCCCTGCAGTGCCCAGTCCTATAAATTATAACACAGAGAGGAGGCTGGCTTCATCACTCACCTCATCACTTCTCTTGCACCCCAGTGCCAGATATAGAAAGTCATTTTCCATAGAGGTGTCACCTGCCTGCATCCAGCTCTCTGAGAGCCTCTCCCTCCAGAACCACTGTCCACTCTGTTTGCTGTCTCCCCAGGATGGTGGTTAGGTCTAGTTCTGCTGGGTTGGATTAGGTCTCATACTTTGCTTTTGGTGGCCTAATTCTTGATGTTAGGATGCCCCACTTGCATCTACAGTGGCCTTTGGAACCCTCATAACAAAAACCCACTGACTTGTGGAGGCAAGGATCTATTGGTTGAACACAGGTTGCAGTAGGAAATTGCTACATACACATCTGATAAAAACATCTTCGGAGTTTGGGATTGATAAGCCCAAATATTAATTACATAAAATTATCAAGTTCTGTTGCATCATTCCACCTGACACTGTCAGTTGAGTTGCTACTGGGGATGGGTAATCCACACTATGTGAGGAAAGGAATTTTGTTCCTATCTACAGACTAAAGTACCAGTTCTTCCTGAAAGATCAAGCCTGCTTTGGGGAAAGATGAGAAAGAACCCTTATTTGTGGCTTCTTTGGGATTAGTTTGCTCTCTTTTGTATATGATCCTAGGAAATTAAATTAGACTAGTTCAAAACAAAACCAGTCTATAAATATTTAAAATCCAATATCTGTGACCCATTCTTAGAGATATGCAAAACAGTTGTTATTCTTGCCCTTATTGGGAAGATGTAAAACTCAGGAATATTATGCATGAAAACCTATTGTAAACACTATGTAAGTAAGTCATGGTATCTGAAAACAGAAAAAACAAAAGAAAAAGAAGGGCAGGGCGTGTACAGATAGTATAGCCTTGTACTATTTCAGAGGGCTCTTGGCCTTGCTCTGTCTGATACAGGTTCAATCCCCAGCACTGCTTATGGTTTCCTGAACACCACTAGGAGAGATCCCTGAGCACAGTGCCAGGAATAAGGCCAGGCCTTCAACACCATGAGAAGTGGCTCTCAAACAAACACTACAGGGGAGATAAGATATTTTTTCATATACTTGCTTCATAACTTTATCTGTACTTCTAGAGCTCTCTTTAATGAGAAGGGACCTTTAGTGCTCTTACCAAACATTTGCATAACTACTTTTGGTCCAGAAGTGGCATAAGATCGGTTTTTTCCAAATTTGATTCTCTGGTATTTTATAATATCTTCTACTTTCCGTCTAAGTATACAACTCACAAGTCATCCTAGGCTCTTTACAGTAGTCCTTGGGATTGTTCAATTATTCTGGGTCTTGCTTCCTTAAGTAGTTTTCTTATCACTTCTCTAAGCACTGGGATAAAAGGTGATATAGCCATTCTCCTTTTGGTATATTTCCTCATCTAGTATTCTGTAGGGCTGGAGCAATAGCACAGCAGGTAGAACGTTTGCCTTGCACTTGGCTGGCCTGGGTTTGATTCCTCCGCCACTCTCGGAGAGCCCAGCAAGCTACTTAGAGAATCTTGCCCTCATGGCAAAAGCCTGGCAAGCTTCCTGTGACATATTTCATATGCCAAAAACAGTAACAACAAGTCTCACAATTTATTGTGAGATGTTACAGGTGCCCGCTCAAGCAAATTGATAAACAACAGGAGGACAGTGCTACAGTGCTATTGTGTTTTGATTCCCGCAGATAAGTCCTTCTGGCTTACTTCACTCAACATGATATATTCCTGTTCCAACCATGTTGCAGCAAATTGCATGATTTCATCATTCCTTGAAGCTGCATAGTATTCCATTGTATATATGTGCCACGTATTCCTAATCTATTCATCTGTCATTGGACACCTAAGTTAATTCCATATCTTATGTATTATACTGAGTACAGAAATGAATAATGGTGTGCATATGACATTTGGAAGATTTGTGTTGAAATATTATATGCCTAAAACTCAACTGTCAATAACTTTATAAATCACAGTTCTTTAATTTAAAAATGAGACAAACATTTTTTCATAAAAGTTTTTTGTTTTAAAAAATAGAACAAGTAGTTTTTTCATATGCTTGCCCTTCTTCATTCACTCTGCAGAATGTCTTCATTTTCAGAATGACAGCAGTGTATGCTATGGAGATCTAGATTCTATTGTGGAATGGCATCTCTGGTCAAATTTGGGAGGGAGGGGATGCATGGTACTTTCCCTGAGGTAACTCTGGGCTACATCTAAATCAATGAATCCATTAATCTCAAATATTTTATCCACTCTCATCTGTCAACCTAACTACGGCTATAGTTTTCCAAAATCAGAAAGCTAAAATCATATCTTTTCTACTTAAAACCTTTTGTTCATTCATTCATTCATTCATTCATTCAGACTTGTAATTCTTTGTTTTAGAGCATGATACCCCATTTAAGCATCTGACTACTTTCTGCCTCCCTCTCAAATATCACTCAGCTGTCTTGACTCTCCCTGGCCATTGTTCACTAGTGTCTTGCACAGTTGACCAGAGGACTTCAGGGAACCTCATCTGACAGGAAGTTCCCTTTAGAGCTTTGATTTCAATTACCCTGAGAAGGGCTCCCATCATCCTGATTAGATCCCATCACTGACAGAAGTTCTTATTCTCTGTCAGTTGATGTATCTCTAGGCTCTCTAGAAGGAACTGTGTACAATTTATATTCTGTTCTCAGTTCTTTGATTGTGTTTCTAGCAGAATCAAAATGTTATAGATATCCATAGAACCAAATGAAGTTCCTGGTGATTCATGTCGAATCTTAATGTTTACTCACACTTTTTCAATTCTTTCTAAAAATAATGCAGAATCTCTGAACTTTTCATCACCCCTGCATTTCTGGACATGTGTTCAACTGTTAATCAAGTATAAAACATTTAGTTGTCAGAGAGCAAAATTTTTAGTGCAAACTCTAAAGCCCCAAAAGGGCTTTAATCCCAGAGAACCTTGTGATTCTAACTTAACTCGTTCCTGGGTAACAGAAGCAGCGACTCTCTGGTTTTGTCTCCTCCTAAAGTTTGATTTTTGAGACAAGTAATATGACAGTGCTCTTCCAGAGTTTCTTCCTTTTCATTTCTTTCTTGGTGACCTGAGGTGTTTGATCTGTGTCTTCTATGACACTGTTTATAATTCTACTGGCCATTTTGACTTATAAAAGTGTATGCTATGGAGATCTAGATTCTATTGTGGAATGGCATCTCTGGTCAAATTTGGGAGGGAGGGGATGCATGGTACTTTCCCTGAGGTAACTCTGGGCTACATCTAAATCAATGAAATCCATTAATATATAGTAGAATGAAAGGCAGAAGGTCCCATGAGCCTTCTACTTTTTATAATCATGAAAATTGATAACACCCCTGATTTTCAGTCACAAGTGGATAGGTGAATTAATACTCATTTTTATCAAGAAGCAATTTACATATAAAGTGGCAAGCTTCCTTTTTTTTCTAATTCAGAATTCCCATAGGTTTTTCCACTTTTCTATCTAATTGTATTTTGTTTTTATAATAGTGAAAGCTTAAAACAAAGATGTCTTTTTGTTTACAGACATTCTTTGTCTCATCATGTTATAGGATAAAGATTATAATCTTGTTGTGGGATAATGTAAAGAACAAAACAGAATGTCCTGACATCTAAATGTCCCATAAAAGTAAAGAAAGGTACAATGTATAAGCCAATTTCTATGGGTATGGAAAAGAACCTTCAGCTTTGCTCCTATGTAAAAGCATATTTGGTGAACGATCACAAAATGTCAAGTGACTGATGTTACATGTTGAACAAGACTTTCAGAAATATCAGTTAATTATCATTCAATCCCAAAATGAATTTAGGAGCTGTTAGTAGATTCTCTCCTTTTCTGAATTCATGTCCAACTTTTTCCACCCATTTTAGTTTATACCCCGTTCTCTGGTGTTTGGCCTAGAGAGTATGTAGCTTTTCCAACTTAATTTTGCAAAGGGCACCAGAGCCCAACTGCTCAGACAGTGAGCTTCTGTGTGTAGGTCAGAACTTACCTTTAGCTTTTAAGGTCTAGCTTGCCATCATTTTTAAGAAACTTTATATTGTGTGCACCAAAATACTGGCTGCTTTGTTCTAAGAAGCACTGGGCCGTGAATTCTGCCTCTATAGGTATATTTTGGAAAGTAAATATCAAAAGTAGAATAAGATCATACAGGCTATTTAATGAGCAAAATAATGGTGGCCATAATCTCACTTCAGTAAGAGATTTATTTTTTCTCATCACTGTCCTACAGACGTTTGCCTCAAGTCTTCACTTTACTGAGCCAGTATAAATACACCCTTAGAGAATGCTACGTTACAAAGGGAGTTGATTGCACATTTCTTTTTTCTCATAAAGATTAACATTTTCAATCTGGGTTTAGTTTTCTATTTCAGTTAGTAACAATAGATAGACAAATGGTCATGACTTTAATATACTTACATGAACCTTATATCCAAAGTAAGCTGTTCAGCTGTATTTAGTCACCATCAAAGAAACCCAAGAAAATTGTTTTGCTATCCACAGAAAAGTTCCTTGAGCTTACCTATCTGATATTGTGTATAATTTTTACACTAAAATTGATATATCAGCTATTATTTTATTCTTCTCGTCATTGTATATGAAACTAGAAAATTTATTTTTGATTCCTACAGATTTTTACATGAGTTGGCCCAGATCCCTAATTTTGCAGAGCGTGCCCAGTGCATAATCTTCAGATCTGTCTTTTCAGAGGGAATGACTTCCTTGCACCGAAAAGTAGAGATCATCACTCGAGCATCTAAGGTATGCACAGCATCTAAGTTTAAAAGTAGTATTGCTGTGGGGATTAAAGTTGGAAATGGGGAGTGGGGCAGACCAATGAGTTTTTCACACCAGGGTGTAAAAAAAAATGTTTTAAATGTAATATTGATGGGACTGGAAAGCTAGTGCACCTGTGTAAGGACAGCGGGTAGGAAGTTTGCCTTACACCTGGCCAGTCAGGGTTTGCTCCTTCCTCCTGGCACCTCATGTGGTTCCCCAAGCCCTGCCAGGAGTGATCCCTGAGTGCAGGGCCAGGAGTAAGTCCTGAGCACTGCTGAATATATACCCCAAACTGAAAGAAATAAACAACAATTTAAGATTGTGTATTTATCTATGTGTTGATGTGATGATTATCCTGCTCAGTTATGAGTCTCTGTGCATGCAAATGAGTGAAACCAGAGAAAGAAAGGAGCTGCAAGCTGAAGAGGGGTAAACTGATGCTTCTACTTATTTACTCTCAACTATTCCAAGTACAAGCAAAATGCAAACAGGTCACTTATGATCAAGTTAAATATTGTAGTTTGCTTCCCACTAATGCACTGGATTGCAAAACAGATTTTTAGACCTCTATATCGTTCACTTGAAATGTGTCTACATAATAAACTAACAGGTTCTAGAAATTTAAATTAAACTGTACCTATCTCCAGAGGCATAGTCCAGAATTAGCTATACAAATTATATTAAATTCCTTTCTATTTTGGAGTGGGCTGAAGCGATAGCACAGCGGGTAAGGCGTTTGCCTTGCACGCAGCCAACATGGCCGACCCGAGTTTGATTCTTCTGCCCCTCTTGGAGGAGAGCCCAGCAAGCTACCAAGAGTATCTGCCTGCACTGCCAAGCCTGGCTACCCGTGACGTATTCAATATGCCAAACACAGTAACAACAAAGTCTCACAATGGAGAAGTTACTGGGCCCACTCGAGAAAATCGATGAACAACGGGAGGACAGTGACAGTGATTTTGGAGTAAAAAAATGTAAAGACAAACTCTAACCATTCTTTCAGAAAACTTATTGTAAAATATATAACACTTTACAATAAGTAAATCAGTTTGCTTTTGGAAAAAACTTATTGTAAAAATATATAACACTTTACAATAAGTTTTTTTTCAAAAGCAAACTGATATAAATGAATTTATAAATATTAATATTTAATCTCCAGTTTAACAGCATGTGTGGTCTGCAATTCATTGGGAAATGTAGAAAATAATAGTTGTTACTTTATGACACTTGAGTCTTAATAAAGTGCATTTTTCATTGCACCAACAACAGTCCATTTGAATGGGAAAACACCACCAAATGAGCCTGGGGGGACTTAATATTAAATATCTATTCCTGAATGAACTTTGGTCAGTCCATTTAGAATTTGGTTCTGTACTTATGGGTGTTTGCCTTTACAGGGCTTGCTGCACATGAAGAGTGTGAAGGATATTTTAGCTCTCATTCTGGCTTTTGGAAATTATATGAATGGAGGAAATAGAACTCGGGGACAAGCAGATGGATATAGTTTAGAAATTCTGCCCAAGCTCAAGGACGTCAAAAGTCGGGTATTTATTTTTTGTAATATCTATGACTGGTCACTATTTTACTACTATACCTGTCATTTTGGAGGGTGCAATGGCGGCTGGGGCGTTACTTAATTTTCTATTTTTCTCTGTCCTCCCCGTAAACAATATATTTTTCTTGCTTTTGGCTTTTGAATGAAGATAAACTTTTCATGTTAGCTCTCATTTTAATGCTAAAATCTGCCCCCCCCCTTTTTTTTCTGCTCTAAAATACAGAATTAGAGGTTGAACTGCCAGGAGAGAATAAAACAGATAAGCTTACAATATTAACCACAGCAGTAGGGTGGAGTCTGAGTTGCCTGTTGGCTACTTGTAGTTTGCTTGTTCCTCAGTAGCAGAGCAATGTTGAATCATGGGTTGAGCCGAGCATTTGGATTATTCTTTCACTTACAACAATTGAACTCTGGCTCTACTGTGAAACTCTCTGAACCTGATTATCATTTGGCTCCACACCCCTGTGGAGCTCCTTCTTTAGAAACAACCAGCCCATATATAGACATCCCATGGGGGCTGGGGGAGTGGAGGGAGGGAAACACACAGGCAAATTAGAATTAGACTCAGTGAACAAGACACAAAGACTGCCTTGTGGGAGGGCCTGCTTGCCCCTGGCCTCCCAGGGTCATAAAGTGGCATGGCGGTCCTTTTAAGCTGTCCTGATTGTTTTTCACACCATTAAGACACACTTTTTTTTTTCCTTTTGCATGGTGGGAAGAGAGGGATGGTGTTCTGTTCCCTGGTTCCCTTTAATACTCTCTTGCCCTCTCTAATCTTGCCTTGATGCCAAAAAAGTTATTGAGAGAAAATGTTTTTATTTCTGTGTGTGTTAGCTATTAACTTAAAGGTTTTGTAGATGATCTCTTTTTCTCTCCACAAAAGATAGCATGTTGTCATTTCTTGGGATTGATGTCGTGAAATGTGGATGATCAAGAAGAAGGAAAGAGGAAAATCTTGCCAATCTCTAACAGAATTAGGACCGGATATCTAATATTAAAGTCTTATGGTCACAAACTGAGATTTCAGCTCTCAACTGAATTTTATGGCACAGACTCATGTACATGATTTTTATTTGAATTTCTCTTTTAAACCTAGGACAATGGGATTAATCTGGTGGACTATGTTGTGAAATATTACCTGCGCTATTATGATCAGGTAAGGAAGGGCATAATATGGAAAACTACACTAATAGGGTTTCAAATCTTACAAATAGCTGGCATTCAGAAATTGGATGAGGGAGGGAGGGAGGGAGGGAGGGAGGGAGGGAGGGATGGATGGATGGATGGATGGATGGATGGATGGATGGAGGGATGGGTGGATGGATGGTTGGATGGTTGGATAGATGGACGGATGGACGGACGGACGGATGGACGGATGGATGGATGGATGGATAGATTTCAAGTCCAACATAATATTTGAGCACTATCCAGCTTCATTGGTTTATACATCGGAGCACTGAAGCCAAGAGAATTCAGTTGACTTGTATAAAGAGGAGCATTTTATTCATTGACACAAATCTACTGATCCTCCCTCCACCAAGTAACACAGCTTCAGAGAGATCTGCAGGTATCTCAGTGCCTTCAGACTAGATTATGAGGGTCTCTCTGTAAAGTGGATAGCCAGTCTGTAATTTATTACCTTTGAAACTAGAATCTGGGATATGGACCAAAACTTATGAAATGACACAACAGTAATCTCCAACACTTTATCCAACACTTTATCAGGAATGTTCATCTATGAAAAAGTTGAAGATGTGGAGTTTGAAATCCATCCTCTCTGGTTGAATTACATTTGCAGTTAGAAATGAACATTTCTGAGGATCCAGAGCCCAATTTTCTGTGTTTTATTTCTTCTCATTAAATTGAGAACAAGAAGTCCTAACTTTGAAAAGAAAGAGCTACTGTTCTAAGTTGTTGAGAAGTATAGCAATCAATATGAATGGGAAAAGTCTCAGGAAAATGTTGTCAGAACTCCTGCTTAACTATCCGGTATACAGTTTTTTCTAGTCAGGAAAGAAAGAAAAGTAACAATTCCAGAGTTTTATCTTCTAACACAGTTCCATCCAGAAGCTAAGTACTGATAAAAATCTACAGTAATTTTCTTACCTTAGTGGTGATTCATTATTGTTCTCATATTTACAACCATTCTTACCGTTACCCCCATGTACAGCTTCTTCCCTGTTTTTGTTAAGGACATAAAAATAATTTTCGGTCCTTCAGGCATAAAGTTCATGAATCCCCCTGGTTCCTTTCTGTTCTTCAACTGAGTTATTTCTTTTCCCTATCCTCTGTCCTGGCTGACCCCAGATTTACTTTCCAGTTCATCTTTCCCTCTTGACTTATTTCCCATTCTACATCCAATTATTCTTTATGTTTAGTTCTGTTCACAGTGTATCATTTTTTACTCAAAAACAGAAACAGCTTTCAATATCTCAATGAACTCAAAATCTACCCAGTTTAATTCCAGTCTTTTACAACCATGCTTTTTTGACTTTCCCTCAATATATATGTTCTGATCCAATTCAAGACTTGCTATTTTTCAAACATTCACATTACTTTCATCCTAATGCACTTTTGCGTCAAATGCTCTCTGAAATTTGAACTAAGTCTGTCACAAGCCTTTTAATAAAACTTCTCCCTTCTTCTCTATAAATTAAAAGACCTTGTGAGGAAAAAAAAGTTCCCAGTAAGAGTAATAGATAGGGGATGGAACGATAGCACAGCAGATAGGGTGTCTGCCTTGCATGCGGCAGACTGGGGTTCAGTTTCCAGCATCCCATATGGTCCCCTGAGCACCAAAAAAAAAAAAGAGCAATAAATAAAGGTAGACAGATACAGATTTTTTTGGAGGGTCACACAGGTAGTGCTTACTACTTGTTCTGTGCTCAAAGATCACCACTGTTGGTTATTGGGAAACTATATAGGGTGCCAGGGATTGAACATGTGTGGAAGGCAAGCACCTTACCCACTGTAGTAACTCTCCTACCTAGAGATACAAGTTGCAACATAATAGGTAATGAAATCTTTAGAATCAAAAAGAAAAGGATAACATCCTTTTTGTGAAGAAAAAAAAAAAAGACAACTGACCAAACATGATTTACAAAAAGGAAATTGAAGATATAAATTGCCAGCTTAATATATATAATTGGCAATATAAATTTTTCAAACCTTTTCCAGAACTCTGATAAGCATTTTATTGAATTATTCAGCTTAAGGTCTGTACTGAACTCATCAAATTTTATGTTTCATAAAGGGCACTTTTAAAAACTTGACATCTTAAAGGATTGGAGATATAGTACACTAGGTAGAGCTCTTGCCTTGCATGAAGCCAACCCAGGTTCTATCCATGGTACCATATACTGTTCCCAAGTCCTGCCAGAAGTTATCTCTGAGCACAGAGCCAGGAGGAAGCCATGAGCACTATCCAGTATGAACCAAAAGACAAAACAAACAATTTTTAATTTACATAAAAATGTCATGTATTAGTTATGCTGTTTGCCCATGAAGCTTTGCCTTCCTACAGAGAATTAATACCTTTCCCTAATGCAGGCAAATGTATTATGTGGCCTAGAAAGCCATAACTCTCTGCATCCAAAGTCCTAGAAATATATATATATATATATATATATATATATATATATATAGCTTTTCCAAGAGTTTACTAAGGCAATAAAAAATTTATCAACATCTTATTTATGATAATGTTGCAGAACTTTTTGGTAGATGTCCAAGGTAGACATCAAGGTCAAATAAAGTATACTTGAATCACATGGGAATAATAAGCTGCCAAAGAGAATGTGTAGGAGAAATTTTAGTGTAATGGAAAATATTCTTAATCTGCTTCTAAATTTCAAATCTGTGTTTGAAAATAATATATGCTATAGTCCCAAATCTCTAAATATAAATATATATATAGTGTGTATTACGTATATATAATAAACATTTGTCTCCTGACTGGTAAGTTGTAAGAGATATGTACTTTTATTCTTTCTTTTTGCCTCCTTGAAGTCTTTGCACACTTACTTGAAGCCTAAAACAGTTCATTTGAACCTCCCTCATGATAGTTCTTGATCTATTTTATATAGCAATTAATATAGCAATTACCTATAATCCAGGCATTGCCATTTGATATCCAGAACTCATTGTTATTTCTTTCAATGCCTATAAATAGGTGCTTGAAAAATACTTGAATATTTTACAAATAGCCTCAAGAATGTGATGAGTTATGTCTGTAAAGATTTAGGGCACTAGAGGTGAGAACTAATTTTTGATAGAATGGGACAGCATATTTCGTTGCAGTCAGTATATCTACATACCTGAGTTCTGACAGCCAGGTGCCACTAAGCCAGGGTAACTTCCCCAAACAACCTTGAGAGGTGCTATTTCCATCCTGAAATTGGGACAAGCAAATTTCCTTCATAATATCTGCCACAACCAAATCAGATAGATTTTTTTTATGAGGGCTAAAAACTGCCTCTGAAATATGATTCTCGCATTGAAGAGAGCTGAACCAATGGAACCAACTTCACAGAGGAAAATCTTAAAGTAAGAAGAGTTTCATACATGGGATGGTCAAGTGTAGGAAAATAGTATGAAGTCTATATTAATGTGGTACTCTCCCAGTCTTCTGTGAAAAATGCATTTCACTCAGCAAGAGTGTAGAATTATGTGATTTATTCAACCCTCTCTTCCCTCTAGGAACATAGGTGATGATTTTTGTGGTTAGGGGTGATGAGCAATTAGCTGAAGAAAGGTGACTCCTGCTTCAGGCTTTCTTCCACTCATGCCTGGTTTTAGTTCCAAGGCTAGATCTGCAGCGCTTAAAGAAATCCATCTAGAGCCACGTCCTTTGAACTCTAATTGAGCAGCTTTCACAAGAGCTGTTACCAGACTGATTTGCTCAGCACATTTTTCTTTTGCTTCTTTAAAAGAAGCTAGGACTGACTGTGATATAAAGTCTTAGAAAATAAAGTATGCATGAGTTTTTCCCATGTAGGTTTTTATATGGCTTTGTGGTAAGCATCTTAGATATTATTCCATTTTAGCACTCAGATTAGGGTATCACTTTCATTGTTTTCAAACTAGCAAAATAAATGTAGGAATACATTTTAAAAAAGAAGAAAAGAAGAAGTACATTGTGTGGTGTTCTGATGAAATGAGGAAACCATTCTTTAGCCTCCCAAGTGAAATTGAAGATTTCTCAGAGAAAGAAGTAGGGAGCAGGCAATTCTTGAAACCATGAGAAATGATAAGTTAGATATATCCTGCTAATGGTACAAACTTCCCAGAAAAGTATTTATAGGATTTCTATAATGATGCTGACCAACCCAAACCAAAGTTTATTGCTATGCCAGACATTGTACACCATGCTAAGAACAAGATTCTTAGTATGACTTCTAAGTGTTTATAGTCTTGAGGGATATTGGTGCTTGGGTGGTAAGCATGGTGTGGTAACATACATTTTGAAGAGGTGTGAAATTGTACCCCTAAAACATATACAGGCTTGTTAAGCCAAGGTTACCTCAATTAAAATGAAAAACAAAAAAGTATAGTATCATAGAATGGAGAAGACATACAAAGTTAACATGGCAATTTGAAGTGAAGTGCTTAAAAATGGAACTCTTGAAAACAACCCAAGTTCTGTAGGCAAGAAGAAATGATAGCTGGGCTTGAGGAAATAATCATTGTTTTGAGACCTAAAGGATGAGTGTGAGCAAGGAGGGTTGGGCATATTCTTGAGAAATGTTGGAAAGGGCCAGTTTTATAAACACAAGTCTAGAGGTGAGAGATTGTGGCCTGTTCTATTATTTTTTTATGAAAGTTTGGGGGCAGGGCTTAGAGATAGGGAGAAGGTTGAAATAAGACTGGAGATGTAGACAGAGGCCAGATCATAAAGTGCCTTGTAAAGCAGTTTCAGAGTTTGGAATTAGTCCTAATGGCAGTAGGAAAGATGGAATGTGAAGGCAAGCTGGCAAAGTCGCTTGTATGGAGAGAAGTATAACTGAATACTGCCTGAGATATGCAAGACACAAAGCTTATATTAAACAACTGAGGGAGAAAGCAAACTGAATTGGGAAAGCTATTTGAGATTCAGCTTATCTTTTAGTGTGCTTACAGGTTTTGTTCTTCAAGATGTTTTTCAGCCAAATTCCCTCTGTTGAGTATAGCTGTGGAAATTGTCAAAAACTATCTGAACCACTAACTATCTACTAAGTCAAATAGTGTCTAGGAAGTCTCCACAAATATTTTAAAAATCTGATCACACACACACACACACGCAATCACACCTTCATCCATAGGTAATAACCTGCGGAAAGGTAGTCAGAAGCATAAGGGATGGTGATTGTTAGTGCCATTGCAATGCTGTCTATCCAACACCTTCTAATTCCAACCTATTGGCATACCTCAGAGGTGAGTTGTCTAATTGTTACCACGTGAAACTCCAACAGGAACTTTGCATTTAAGTACTTTCATGTGTTCCTTCTATGCTTTTTGCCGTGGGAGTGGAGTGTTCAGGTTCAAACATACCTGACAGTTTTCTCTTTGATTCATGAGGCAAAATATAACCAAACCTCAACCCTGGTCACAGTCTACCTGAACACCAGCACAACCAAAATGACATGGTGACTAACTCAAAGCACTTTACAGTAGCCGGCCTGGACTTAGGAATAGCAGAGAAGCTTTGCTAGGATTCTTATTGGAACATCCAATGAAAAAGATGCTCCAAATTTTACTGGAAGTGAAGTATAATGAGAAGTGAAATGAGAAGTGAATTGAGAAGTGAAGTATGATTGGGAAAAGTAACAATTTTCTTTACCTTATCTTTTAGGAAGCAGGGACAGAGAAAAGTGTTTTCCCCCTGCCTGAACCACAGGATTTCTTTCTGGCCTCCCAAGTCAAATTTGAAGACCTCATGAAAGATTTGCAAAAACTGAAGAGGCAACTAGAAGGTAATAGAAAGTTTTCTATTATTGTGATAATAGCTAAGGTTCTTAAAAATTATGTAAGAGGTTTATTATGTTTGTCTCACTGGATGAAATGGGTTCAGTGATTAGTTATAGTGCACCCCAGACTTTTTTTAAATATACATTTTATTTTCATAAAAGCAGTTCACAATAGTTCATTATAGATAATATTCAAACACCAATCCCACCACTGAGCACCTTCCCACCACAATAAAAGGGAAGTGTGTGAAGGTTGTTGTATTTCATTCTGGAGCCACTTAAGCTCATAGATAAGAGAATACAAGCAAGTATGTTAAAACCAAACAAATGTGTGCTACTTTTGATAAGTGAGATAGAGTGTAAGAGGTCACACAATCAATTTGCAGCCACGCGTTCCAGGAAATTCTGAGTCGTTCTCTTCCGGGAGCTTTAGTTTATAGTCTCCTTGTCTTGGCGATGATGAGATTACATGGTGCCGGTGACAGTTTGTGGGTGTGACTGCCAAGCTACTGGAAAACTGGGGATCTGAGGGGAGGAGGCCCAGTCCCCATCAGAGCAGGCTTGGAGATCTCAGTCAAGAGTTCCCGCATACCTGAGTTTTTCTGCTGTTCCCCTCTTGGGTGAGGCTCGTCCCTTCTTGGGTGAGATTTGTCCAAGCATGTGGAAAGTGGCTTTGGGCATGGCAGTGGTTGGGTTCTGGAGGTTTACAACTGCCAGGGTTCTGCTTGAGACAGGGAAGGAAACTCAACCCCCCACCCCACCCCGCCCCAGGTTCCCTGGTAAAGACAGCCTGGTGTGGGGTGGGGGAAGGGGTCAGGACATTCTGCATCACTCTCTTCCGGAAGCTTTAATTTATAGTCCCTGGGTCTTGGCTGTTGATGAGATTGCATGGCGGCGGGGGGGGGGGGGGGGGTTGGTGGTGGAGGGGGGGCATTTTTAGGGTGTGACTGCCAAGCTACTGGAAAACTGGGGAACTGCAGGGAGGAGGCACAGTCCCGATCTGAACAGTGCCCCAGACTTTATGGAACTTTCTATCTCTATGCTTTGGGTTTTGGGAGGCACTGTATTTACATAGCCCTATCTATTATCTATCTAGTTATACTTAACAATTGCTTCTCAAACTGAGAACTTATTATAGAAATATCTGCATTTCTAACATATAATAAATCTAACTTTAAAAACAGTAGTGATTGAGGCTGGAAAGAGAGTATAGTGGGTACTTGCCTGGCATGTGGCTGACCTGGGTTCTATCCCTGGTATCCTACCTGGTCTGCCTGAGCTCCACCAGGAGTGGAGCAATGATCCCTGAGCAGAGAGCCAGGCATAAGCCCTGAACACAACTGGGTGTGCCCCCCACCCCAAATAAACAATAACCAATGACAATACCTACCAGCAACCTAGATAATTGTTATCACATATGATTCTTTTAACAATTCTTGCAAGTAGGGACTTGACTAACTCCACTTTTTCAATGAGACTACTGGAACTTACAGAAGCTAAATTCACATAGTCGACAAAAGGCAGATTGAGCTCTGATCAGACCTATCGGATTAGAAGCTGTTCATTATCTAAGATGGTGTAGTATGTTGCCTAATGTACATGTATCACACACTTGCCTGTTCCTCCACACATACACACACTTCAAAAAAATTGGTTTTTGTAGATGAGTCTGTTCATGATGGCAAGACACACAGAGAGTAAACATTTTGTTTCATTTAATTTGCACTTTTAATTATCCAAGGCAAAATACCAAAAGCCCTTTTTTCCCTTTTTTTTTTTTTTTGATTAAGGTGAAAATATGCCTCTCTTGGGCAGGAATTTTCCTTTGGCATTTCTAAAGTCTTGTGTTTTCACTGTGGAGACATCTCCTTGTCCAGGAATATAAATACTTGCCTTGGAGCTTGTATAACTCCGATTGAAGAGCTCTGCAGAGGATTTAGGGAGCGTGTTAATGTGGAAATGGAGCCCAGTGTGCCAAAAGGAGAGCTTGAGGAAATGAAGAGCTTGAACCAGGAATAGTTTTACACTAAGACATAAAATAAACATTTTTTAAATGTTTATTGTGAAAGAGTACTCAGAAACCTAAGTCTTAGGTGGAGAACAGCTTGAAAATGGAAATAAAGTGGGAAAGATATGCTCCTGGTGGTGTAGGGGTTGTGGTGGTGGTGGGGCACATTTATTTTTACTTGGAACATAAAACTTAGGATAGTAGTTACAAGTGAATATTTTTACCTTGTAAATTATTTTTAAATGAACCTGTTGATTTTCTTCCTGTTAATGTGGTTGAGAGCTTAAATGCATCAAATGGAGGCTCTGATTCTGAATGCCATGGGTGAAAGAAACCTTGGTCCCTCTTCTTCTCTCAAAAACCTGACAGTTTTATCCCTATCTGAGATGAGAAACTCGATATCTGCTGCAGTCAAACAGCACAGGCAGTATCTGGAAAACGTAATGGCTTTCCTTCTGTTCCTCTCTAATGGCAGAGTCGGGGCCCAGGATGACAACAAGGCTCACAAAGGCACACAAGACCTGTGGCTTGAGTTCTTGGGGACAGTCTGAATACCTGTATGAATACCCTGGTGTTTTCTGGCCCTTCAAAACCTCAGGTCCCCCAGTAGTGTGGTCTTTTGAGCAGAAATTTGATCTGTTTCCTATCTTCTGCCTTCTTTTCAGGGACATTCCTGACTTAGTGGCCTTCCCGGGAATTGCTGTGTGTAAGGTTATAAGTGGCAGAGGAATGAGGAGAGTGAATTGAGATGTGAGTGCACACTTTGGGGTGCTCCTGAAGATCCCCATATTGCTAGACCTCTGTTTCACTCAGGAGATGCTTGGTGGTGTTCTAAATTCCTCTGAACACAAATGACCGTTCCCTCCATCCCTTCTAAGAACATAGAATTTCTGAAGCCAGAAGAGCTCCATCTGTAGGGTACAGGAATTCTGCGTAGGTTTGTTTTTGTGGTGGATGACCCAGCCCAGCAAGCTACCGAGAGTATCCCACCTGCATGGCAGAGCCTTGAAAGCTACCCGTGGCATATTTGATATGCCAAAAAACAGTAACAAGTCTCACAATGGAGACGTTACTGGTGCCCGCTCAAGCAAATTGATGAACAACGGGACGACAGTGCTATGACAGTGCTACAGAGCTACAGACCCAGCTCTGAAAGACCTGATACTTTACAGAGGTGAAGGAAACGGCTCCTCTCATATACCCCCTCACCCCCCAACCCCCCCCACGCGCACACACACAGTGAATATTTAAACAAAAATGCCCTGCTAATCTTTAGAGATGCCAGTGTTTTTAACACATAAAAGGTACCTAGTAAATATTTAAAGAAAATACAGACCATTGGTCCTCTAATGAATTTCTTTTTCTTCTAAATACCATCTGGTAAGATGACCGGCGTCTTGGCGGCCGTTTCATCTCACCAGCCTGTTCAGATTTCCCCTCCTCTTCCATCAGGACTTGGTGTGAGCCTCGATTGAATGTTTAATTGAAGAGGACGTAATTTTCACACATACAGCAAAGATTTGATGAGGCTTTGAGGTTTATTGTAGCCATTAAAATGTCGTGGCTGCTGGCAAAACCCCAGAAAATGTCTAAAGCTAAACCAGATGTGATTAGCCAATTTTGAGAAACGTCTCATACCCCAGTTTTCCAGGCAGGCCCAGATCTTTACTTTTTCCTTCTTTTTTGTTAGTCATGGTGAAATTACAAAGTTATTCATGATTGGGTTTCAGGCATACATTGTTTCAACTCCAATTCCTTCATCAATGCCCACTTTCCTCCACCAATTTCCCCACTTTCCCCTTTTGCCTCCCATCTACCAATCTGCGTCAACAAGGGGCATGTTTTAAAAGTATATGTTTTTGCATTGTGGTTTATTATACTGTTGCTGATAGAGTTTCACGCAAAACTTTTGACCACTTTTTAGCACCACTTCGTCCTCCTACGAGAGTCGTTGCCCCCTCCCTGTCTATCTCTCAGCCCCTTCAGGTGGTATGTTTCCTACAGAACACCAATTCTCATGATTTTTGTTTTCTTTGTCTTTTGGCATTCATTATGCCTCCATTATGTTTTATTATACCCTGTATATGGGAGAGATCATTCTGTGTCAATCGATCTCCCTCTGACTAACTTCACTCAGCATTATGCTTTCCAGGTCTTTCCATGTAGCAGCAAGCTGCATTCCTTTATTTTTTTTCCTTATGACTGAGTAATATTCCATTGTGTATATGTACCATAGTTTCTTTATCCATTCATTTATTCTTGGACTCTTGGGTTGTTTCCAGATTTTAGCTACTATGGATAATGGTGCAAATGTCATTTTTCCATTTTGTTTTTTGCCCTTTGGAGTATATTCCAAGAATGTGGGTTGCTGAGTCAAATGCTCTTTAGAAGAAAATTGTTATGAGATACATGGTACACATCATAACAATGGAGTGTGAATGAAGTCACGGTGGTTGACTGTATGGAAGAGGTTGTCAATAAGCAACTTGTTCAGAGACAAGAACTTCAAGCAGTATTTTATTTATGTAGATATAACAAGGAATTAATTCTAGCAGTTTCTCACGTGATTATTATATCTCTACCCTAATTCTTTCAATTATCCTATGACAGAGATATTATCATATGTGTTTTATAAGATAAGAAAACAAGTTCCTGGTGCTCAAGTAATCTGACAAATTATTTCACAAGTAAGCACTTAGCCACAGTCTAAAACTAAATTTAACTTTAAAACATGTACTCATAATATATCCTTCCCGTGTCTCTAAGGCTCTATGTATGATCAGAGATCACAAAAGGATATATATATTTAGATTTCATTTATGCAGTGTCAAGGTATTAGGTCTTCTGATGCAAATAGCAGAAACCCATAAATGTGTGTGTTTACATTGCTGAACTGAAATCATTATGCTTATATGAACACAATGTATGCATATACATTCTTCTAGAATCACAGGGGTAAGTCCTCAGATCAGATACAGACACAGGAAAGAATGTACCT